CGGGTATCCATGTCACCATAACTGATCCATGTGTCTCACTCTGAATCTGTTTGGGTTTACATGTAACAATGGATTCTCTCTATCTCTTCAACCATACATGTGTTGATCTATATGTTTCACTCTGAATCTGTTTGGGTTTACATGTAACAATGGATTCACTCTATTTCATCAACTGTACATGTGTTTGTTGTAACTTTATGTGTTCATCTGTAGCTGCTCAGCTGGATACTTTGGACAACCACAGGTGTTAGGAAGCTACTGCCAGTCTTGTAACTGCAGTGGAAATTCAAAAAGTTGTGATTCTATTACTGGAGAGTGTCACTCCTGCCTTAATAACACCTTTGGAACTGCTTGTGAACTTTGTGCTTCTGGATTTTATGGAGATGCTGTATTTAAGAAGGACTGTAAAAGTGAGTATATCTTGTTATTTGTTTACACAAACAGAAATGAATTTTTTATAAAAGTTTTGAAATTAAGTATTTTTTTATAATTGGAAAGCTGTTGTCAAACTGCCATTTCTTAGGGAATGAGTTTTTAAGAAAGTTGATACTACTCTGTTCTGATGATACGTGAACATAGGCAGGGCAGGGGGTGTGATCAGCAGGAGTGATTACACCCCTATCTTGTACCCATGTTTGCAAAAACTTATTTGAGTAGTGGACAAATGGATACAAGAAAAATGCACTATTTTTAGTAAAATTAACAATATTTTTCCAAGAGGGAAAGACCCCATGACCCCAGTATGTGTTTGCTACTCATTTCATTTTTCCTATAAAAGGAAAAACAATGCTTCTGTTATATGTTATTGAACTTAGAGTCAGATGTAACATTTGTATATATATATATATATACTGAATTATATCACAGTAATAGATAATATATATATTTTAATTTATGCCTGAATCCTAACTAGTTTGGGTTTGGGTGGTATTTTTGTAAACAAAGAATTTTTACATCTGGGTGGCTGGTCCATTTGGCAAACATATTCAGTGACAGGGATTCAATCTAAAGACCCTCAGATTGTGAGTTGAGCTTCCTAACCATCAGGCCATGCCAAGCCTAATAGATGATATGATTTTTATAATTATAAATTAATGATTAATTTTGTAGTGATTTTATGATCCTTGTGTGGTTATTATACATCAACAGATGACTCACCAGCTGTGATTTTAATCTTGATATATCAGCACACCTCTCTATGAACCTACGAAACCTATTAATGCCTATGTTTTGAAAGTGGTCCTGTTTTTTGTAAAAATTACCAATACAACTTGTGGTTCACATTGATTGAAGAAACATATGTGAAATTATTAAGTTTTCATTAATTATGTTAAGAAGGAGAAAGTTGTCTACTGTAACAAAATTGTGATAAGATATTAACTATTCTTTGACAAAGTATAAGAATCTTATATTGGTCCCATTAATTTTGTGAATGGTTCAAATTGTAAAACTGATTGTTTAACAAAGAAATTAGAAGAAAAACCTATACAAATTTATATTTTCTGGCTAATAAAAACCTGTAATTTCATCTGATTTATTAGCTAGTTTATTGTTAAAAACAGACTGGTGGGTCTGATCAACGAGTGATATCAATGTGTTATTTGTGATGTATCTTGTACACTTGAACCCAATTCCTTTAATTTTCACAGATAGTTCTAGATTTTATGTTTCCATTAGCGATCAGTGTCTTTGTGTCTGGAGAATTAAATGTAAATGATATGCTCAGTGTGACATTGTTGAATGTTACCATTTCCATGATGGTTTAGTTGTGGTTTAAGGATTCATCAGTATACACAGCTGTACAATTCTTGGTGTATTTTTGAGAGATGGAATATTAGTGTGATGTTTGAGTAAGTTGTACGATCTCTCGTGGACGTAATCGAATCAACCTTTTTTCTGATGTATGATAATTCCTAATGTCTGAAAATAGTGATTGATGAATTACTGTGGACAAAACTCATTGAGGTGTCATGGGTTGACCATTGAAAAATCCTAATCTAAAGCCCATCTGTGGGGCCAGGTACCTTTAATGTCCTAACAGTGTAAGAGAGCCTGGTATTGTGATTACTGAGGAATGGAATCTTCTAATGTCGACCACTGTCTGATCAAAAGTGCATCCTGTAGAAGTAGATTCACTCATTCAGCCTAACTGCCGTGTTGTTTCAGACAAGACAATCATAATTGTCTCCAATTTTCATTTCAGGATCCTCATGTTCCAAGGGTTTTAGCTAATGAGTAAAAGGTCATTCTGAATTGTATTCTTATTTCAGCTCTGTTGTTCATTTGGTGGAAGAACAATTTTAGTATAAAATACTTTAATTTTTTTTAGTAGTTTATACATATATATCTATACATGTGATCTTATTTTCCAACAGAATGCGAGTGTAACGAGTGTGGAACCGACAGGTGTGACCACAGAATAGGTGTTTGCCATTGTAAACCTAATGTAGTAGGAATGGCATGTGATGATTGTGATGTAAGTCATTCAAACTAGAATGTACTACTATTTTTTTAGGTTTTATAACTGAAAACTGCTTTTTCTAATGCTGTACTTTGCATTTAAAATAATAAGGTTTTGTTTTGTGAATGTTTTAGTGGAACAATAAATTACAGATTTTTTAGTTTTGTAACATTATAGTGTTAAGCTAAACCAGTGCTGGATTAAGCATGTGTGGGGGCCATAGCATTTCTAGAAGGCAGGGCCCCTATCTGCCAGAAAATGTTCTTTACTATCATTTTAATTTTTAAAACTTTATTATGACTGCTACAGTTTTATTGTATTTACTCATTTTCAAAGACGAGTGGAGAAATGCATTCTCTCTACAGCAATTAAAAAAAAACAAAATTCACTCTGGAGCTGCTCCACTCCCTTTTGCTCTGGGAGCACTCTGGGCTTTATTTATTTTTGATCAGGGCTCCAGAAGGAACTAGAAAAACTCATCTGCTCTTGAGCAATTAAAAAAGAAAAGGATTTACTCCAGAGCATAAAGGAGCCCTCCAGACTGTAGTGCTCCGAAGCCCTGGTAGATATGACACTAATGAATTTCTGTAGCATTTTGATTTTTTTTTTAACAGTCGTATTGAAAAATATTCATATTTTTCTTATTGGTGCAAGGCCCCTATTAGCACGGGGCCTGTAGCATTTGCTACTTATGCTAATGGGCTAATCTGGCAGTGGGCTAAACTACCTAACTTAATGTTACTGCTCATAAAGTTTTTCTATGCAATGAAAGTGTTCTTCATCTATCAACAGGAAGTCAATTGTTTGTTGTTTTTTGTAAGATACCATAGTATAATTACTCATATTATAGGTTGGTTTCTGGGGATTCAAGTCTTGTGTTGGGTGCCAAGGGTGCAACTGTGGACCAGCTTCGGAAGACAACAACTGTGATGTAGAGACGGGCCAGTGTAAATGTAGGCCTGGAACAACGGGTCTTACGTGTGACAGCTGCAAACCTGGATATTGGCAGTATTCTCCAGAAGGATGTGTTTGTATGTATCTATACAGTTCCATGCATTACTTTTTAAACTCTCATGTAAATATGTATATAGTAGGCACTTTCAGGATAAACTTGATCTCACAATAACTAGAGATTTAAGGACTTAGTATGTAGAAAAACAGGTGTAATGATTTGTTGTAGTGGAATAAGACAGAGATCTACAATAACTAGAGATTCAAGGACCTAGTATGTAGAAGGACAGATGTAATGATTTGTTGTAGTGGAATAAGACAGAGGTCTATGATAACTAGAGATTCAAGGACCTAGTATGTAGAAGGACAGGTGTAATGATTTGTTGTAGTGGAATAAGACAGAGGTCTACAATAACTAGAAATTCAAGGACCTAGTTTTTAGATGGATTGGTTTATAGATTTGTTGTTGTTGAAAGATTTAGTGTGAAGTTGGAGAAAACAGATGACTAGCTGATCATACCTATGTAGAGAATTATTACATTGTGATAAGTTTAAAGTAAATAAACTGTTTGTAAAGATGGCTCGTACAAACAGCGAGAGTATTAATTATAAGGCTACAAATAATGGCTCGTACGAACAGCGAGAGTATTAATTATAAGGCTACAAATAATGGCTCGTACGAACAGCAAGAGTATTTATTATAAGGCTACAAATAAAATGGTTGAAATTCAGCAACAAATCTTGGTTTCTTCAGAGCTGAAATGAAACTGTTTGAAAAACCACAATCACAATTCAATTTATTTCTATAAGTAACTAATTAGTAAGAAGAATTTAAGTTTAGTTATAAATACATTAAAAACACACACAAGACATATATGTTGACTTATAGTATTATGTTGTATCACTTATGGAAAGATTGTGTTACTTGATGTGTTCCTCAAATATACTGTATAGTGTTTACAAATCAATCATATTTTTGAAAAGTGAAACTGTATGATATATTTGATTTTAAACTTAGAAGATCAGTTAAACAAAGAAAAATTATTTTCTAAATATGAAATTGACTAACAGAAAATTTCAAGCCTGTTAATGAACCATTACTGGAATTATCTGTGTGCCAGTAGTAAGTTTGTCCAAGCTTTCGATTTGGACGATTAACGGTACTGATTATTCTTATTGTTTTCCAGCATGCAACTGTGTAGAAAAATATTCTTTACCTGGGGCAGTGTGTGACGTTGCTTCAGGAGAGTGTCAGTGTCTTCCTGGTGTTGTTGGTACGAATTGTCAAGGTTGTTTATACCGCTGGACTTTTATTGAGAATCAGGGATGCCAAGGTATATTAGATGTAATTTTATTATATTTATAAATACCTTCTTCTTGTTTCCTCTCCAAATTCTTTGGCTGAGACTTTTTTTAGAAAGATAGCATTAGCAAGTAAAAAAAAATAAAGAAAGAATTTATTAAAGATTTAATATCTCCATCATTATACTGAACGTTATAGAAAAATATATTTATTCTGTTATAAAAAAAACTGTAAAAATTAAAACAGTTTGGCAAAACTGCAAACTGCATTAGCAGCTCTTCTCTTTTGAAGATCTACTTTTTATTAGTTTTGAAGATCCAGTCTCAAGATGGGTGGCTTACAAATGTCCTCGTTGAGAGAACCATGCTGTCTTCAGTAGCATGCATTCCTGTTACAGTGTTGAAACCAAAATGTTACTTATAAAACAAGTATTATTGAGAGAACCATGCTGTCTTCA